AGAGAAAAAGTTTCTTCAAGCTTTTTATAAGACATTAAAGTACTACTGAGACTACTTTTAGAAGTTTTAAATACAATGGGTTTTATTTTTAGACAAAGTGGTGCTCTTGGATCACGTCTGACAGGCGCTGGATGGGGTGGTTGTGCTGTTTCACTTGTACGACAAGAAAATCTTCATGAGTTTATTGCAAATGTACGCGATAAGTTTTATATTAATAGTAAAGATACAAAGCGAGTTAATAAGGCTGATCAAAGTATTTTTCCAACATTACCTGGATGTGGAATTTATGCCTCACGATTATAAAAAGTGAATTTATGGAATAAACATTATCAGTTTTTTGATTTAACTTAGTGAAAAGTAATTCTTTTTGATTTGTTATTCTTTGGTATTCGTTCGTGATGATATTCTTTTAATCGTTATTATTTAGTGAACTTTTAAGAAATTATTGTACTCGTGGAAGTGTAACTTCAGATATGATAATCGGAGAATAAAATTTTCAAAAAAATACAAATAATTTTAAGTCTACTATAGTTTAAAGATATACAAGGATGTGACAAAATTTTTGTAAATATTCAAGTGAAGGAATATCACAGTACCCTAGTTTTCTCGTCAGAAGTAACAGAATTTGATTCTTGATGGATTCATATTAGATTTAATCTAAAACGATAGAATAGAGAGAATTTCCTAAGCTGCGTCATATAATTAATTGCATGTTACCTATGTCGTCCAAACCGCTCTGAAACTACCGATTAATCGTGGTTAACTGTGGTTCTTCTGTTTAATTTTCTTGTATCTCAATGCATGAATATTTGTAAATTCGTAGGAAAATGTTATATTTCACTCCAAATTGTGAGTCTCCTTGTTATTGTGAGCGCGCTAAAGTCGTCTGCATCAGATACATCAACTGTTGTCACTTAGTTTTCGAATTTGTTTGATTATTTACTAAAAAGAAGAAGACGCCACAAAAATAGTGATTAGTTAGAAGACTTAACCAATAGGAAGAAGTGTGGCGCCATCTGACACACTATATTGTAGCATATTATAATCGACTTTTTAAAGTTCAAATAAATTTCTTCACGACTGAAAATATCAATTTAATAGACAATTTATAAAAAAAAATTGTAATTCGTTCGAACCGTTATTTTTTTTATGAACCGCAATCAACCTCCGGTTTCAATGAAGAATGGACAATACGGACATCTACTTCACATATCACTTTTAGTAACGAATTGTTTTTATGTCAATAAGTATTTAGTTTTCAGGGGTGTCCCAATAGAGCCCATCGGGTCTGGCCAAGGGGTAAATAACTGACTTTTATGACTTAAAGTCATTTAGGTCATTTTTAGATCATCTAAATCATTTAGATCACTTAGATCGCGAAAGTCATTAAAAGTCATTGAAATACTTCAGATTATTCGAAAGAGGATGCTAGTCAATACTTGTCTAAAATCTGTTGATGTGTGAATATATCGATATACGTTTCGAATAAGATACAATAACAATGGTCTTATCAAAATATACATATGATATAACTAGTTTTTGATAATATAAAACGATAGGCTTAGAATCACTCTAAAATATTTCATTAAAGTTTTTAAGCGTGTAATGGTCTATAGAAAGAATCAGTCTTCGATATGGAAAACTTCACATCATGTCTGCTTGCATACAAGCAGACAGTAACAAGATACTAAATTGTTTTCGTGACCGACTTCGATAACATTCATCGAAAAATATTGGACCACAAAGATTTCTATCTAATGTATGTATAATATGAGAACGCATAAGGTGGGTCGAAGAAAGTCATAAAAGCGACCATGTATAATTATCTGTGATTCCTGTTAATTTTCAATCTGCTATCTGATTTCAATAGCAATGACTAGTCGAAAGTATTCACCATTTGATTGTTTGTATATTCAAATAGGTTACTCGCTCACCGTTTGTCCACAAAAAAAATTTATGGACGTTTCAATACTACTTTTAGTGATATTCGTCCATTCTGACAATGAATTTTACTGAACTGTTGGTTAGCTGACTGACTAGGTTGAAGCCAAATCACTTAGAATACAAAATATCTCTTTTGCTAATTCTTTTGTGCAAGTACCAATGTTTTCGATGTAGTTCGTATTGTTTTTAAAGAGATGAATTCGATTAGAAACAGACTTTGTTTTTTGTTTTGAACAATAATATTTACGTGCTCAAGCAATCTATTGAAAGCTGAGTCGAATATTTACGCAATGTATTCACTAGAAAATCAAATGATATATCAAAATGTACTAATACAAGATAGTCAAATATACGCAACGCATCTTCGATAATTACCTCAACTGTCGATGTTATTTCTCTGAAATTAATAGGGACGGCAACATCTATCAGTATTATTAATCATCCTTTACTTATTTTAAATGCAATTGACGAATAATGTTTCACAAACCGACATGATCTGAACTTGTTCGTTTAAAACTTGTTGATGAAACAGATTTGTGCATACCCTTTTCGCATATAAGAGTGATTCTGCCAAAGGAGGAATAACTGACTTAATGACTTAGTGACTTTAAATGACTTTTTTTGACTTAAGTGATCTGAAAGGTTGAGAATCTCCCTAGTTTATCTTATATCTCAATTTGCATCTCATTATATTTCAAGACTTCCATGTCCACTATTTTCCTAACTTGTTTGATATGTAACGGCGACACAAACCGATCGACCGATAACCGTACACAACCGATAACCGGCCGAATCAATCAACCGATTAAACGGTCCAATAAACTAATCTGCATGAGCCAATACTCATTATTATCCGCTGATAGGATCTAATTTAGCCTTCTCTAAAGGACTAAGTTGCGCCCTTGATCGCAATCAGTCGATTCGATTTATCGTTTTGATTTATTCAGCCGGCTGCCGTTTCGTACCGCTGAATCGTTGACGGTTAGCCGATGATTGATTATCATCGTTGCATCCCTATAACTTGTAAAATGCTATGAGATATTCTAGAGAACATTCATCCTCGTTTTATGTTAGCTCATCGGCTTTAGCTTAATTGTTCAGCTGAACAACGCATACACCATCTAGTCTACCGTTCGATTTATTCCATAATGTGTCTATATTATCGCTGCCTCTTGCAATATGTTGTTCTTGATTGGAAAACAAAGTGATCTTCAACAGTCACATTTGATATCAACTTCGGCATCTACATGATATTGATGTGAGCAACAATAAAAGTACAATTGACAATTAAACAAACATTCAACTTTCTATCAAAAAGTAGATGAGTAAATATTACTAGAGCATCTAGCAATCATAAATACATAAAAAAACTAGAAATGAGAAAAGCAACAAATATCTTCAAACGAAAAATATTAAAAGATAAGACTAACAGAGAAACAACCAATTTTAGGATGCTATTCGACTTCATGTTCTGACCATAAGTGAAACTAAGAAAACCCAAGTCTAATTCGTGACTAGTTGCGCATTTACACAGAAGGACGAAAAAGTAAGCGTTCCTTCTGTCAAAAACTTTTACCAGCAACAACGAACGAAAAGCAAGGTTGTACTAGATCTAATGGGTCTTCAAAGTCATTTTTACTCATCACTCCATCTACCTTAGAAACCTAAATTCACTCCTATTCCTGGTTATATCCTGTGGATCAAGTGTTATGACTTCTTTGGTGAATTTTGTGCGTATCCGTATCGGAAATATTGGTCTGTGAATTGTACATCAACAATTTTGTTGTAACACAAGTCTGGTAGTT